ATGATGGATGGATCGTGCTCATTAGTAATTAATATCTCAAATTACTTTTTTGTGACTCATTTTTAGGGGGGTAGATAAATTGGAACCAGCAAGAAGACTGTTCTTCCATCACAATAATTACTCAATATTCAAATTTACTCTTTAGTTACAGTCATGGTAAAAAGAAAGTAAATCCTGAATTTTAAGGTTTTTACTATCACGACATTATAAAAAAAAATAAAAAAAGAACATTAACAAAAACAAAAATAGTGCTACCCCCTCAGCCTCCTAGATACAGCTATACACCTATCTGAAACTCCTATGTCACTTATCATATTCACAAACTTGGGCGTCGATGTCGCCCACCCGCCCCCTCACCCATGGATCCCCTGAAATCTGTCACCACAAATCAATAAATATATAAAGTTACAGAAAAGGTCTTGTAGCTCAATTTTGATAGTAGATAGTGGAAAAAACAGTACATTTTCTGTGTTTTATTATCAATTACTTAACTACTTGTTGTAGTACTAATGGAAATGTAGGAGATATTTATTGAGAGGAAAAACTTTAAAAGTTATGAAAATACAGTTAAAAGTCCAAAAGCAATCCCCTCCTTCACAAAGGAGGAGATTCAAAGCTGTCCAGTGGACCGGATTGGAGTCTTTCCTGGGCTGATTCTGGCCCCAGGCCTTATGTTTGACACCCACGGTCTAGAGCATTCAGATGTATTAACACAATGGCAAAAAAGATAACAGAAGTGCCAGGAAAAAGCTGATTATTTCTAAAAATTAATATTATACCATGGCTCAGGTTTGCAAAGGTGAATCTGGAAAATCCTCAATACCTTTGGAACAATGGCTTTTGGACAGATGAGACTAAACTGTGGGTATTTGGCTATAGTGCACATAATGCACCATGTTTGGTAAAAATCAAACACAGCATACCAACTGTCAAGCACAGTGGTAGAGGGGTGATGATTTGGGTTTGTTTTGCAGCCGCTGGACCTGGGAACCTTGAACTCCTCTGACAGCTAAAGCTTGAGAGAAATTTGGTCATGCACCAGGACAATAAACGAGCACAGCAGAAAATATATGAGAGGATGGTTGAAAAAGAAAAGAATCTAGGTTGCTTTGGCCAAGACAAAGTCCAGACCTCAACCTGAATAAAATGCTGTGGTGGGACTTTCAAAGAGCTGTCCATGAACGAATGCCCACAAACTTCAATGAACTGAGGCAACGCTGTCAAGCAGAGTGAGCAGAAATTCCTCTACAATGATGTGAGAGATGAATAATATTGTATATAAAATGTTTACTTCAATTTACTCACGGTGATTCTACAAGCGACTGAATCATGGACCGTATTTTCTCTTTCACACACAGCTTCTACATTTTGGCTCAGCTGTGGTTAGTTAGTTGCTTGTTGTCCATCTGAGGTTGTATTTACCTCATTCTAACACCTGCTCAGGACCACCTTATTTTTTATTATGTCCTCATATGTAAAACCTTAGACTTGAGACAGTGTACTTTTTTGCCATGACTATAAAGGATTTTTTTATTTCAAAAATGACAACAAAATATCAAATTATTATTTTAATCCAATTAAAACCTGTGTGCATGAATGCAGGAGAACAGCTGCTATAGCTGATATATAGTAATAACAAACGAGGTCCATCAGTGAACTGTGGATTAGTTTTGGTCTGACGTGGTGAAGTTTTGGTTAGTTAACAGGTTAGGGTCAGGGCTACATACACAGTAACGGCCTACCTGGCACATGGAAATGCTTGGGGGCTTGGAAGGTGTTGGTGGGTGTAGCACACCTGGGCTCTGGCTGACTATAATAAGGAGAACTCCTGCCACTTTCACTGCCTGCACTCAGCCCAGCCAATCACAATGAGAGAAACCAAAGCATCAATGACCCACATCCACAAACAGTAAGACAGACAGGGTATTGAAAGATACACTGACAAATAACCCGATGGATTACATGTGCATGCAAATGTGAGTTGCACCCACACAAAGACTTTCTATCCAGCTATTTTTCTGTGTGTGTGTGTGTGTGTGTGTGTGTGTGTGTGTGTGTGTGTGTGTGTGTGTGTGTGTGTGTGTGTGTGTGTCTTTGCTTGAGTGGGAGTATTACCAGGGACATAATAATGCAGTGGGGAGCCTCCGTGACGACTGTGTGCAGGTGAGTCGGTATAGGGGGAGCTGGAGGAACGTCTTGTTCTTAACTCCATGCCATCCAAGAGATCCTGAAAGGAAAGGCTGCTTTAGAGGCTGTCTGAATAATGTGCTTTAATTTACTAAAGGCACAAGGTTACTTCCACAACACAGTTTTAATCATGCTGACAGCAGTTTATTAACCTACATGGTGCGTATGCTGCTAGCAGTCCTAGTGCACAAACATGTGCAGATGTAGTCTAAACACAGACAGTGAAGACTATCACGGTGCTGTTACAATGATGGCACAAATTAAAGAAATACTTGGATGGTTACTTTCCTTCATGCCAAGACTGAAACAATAATATTAGCATATAAATAGATGCGCATTAAATATGAAAGTGGTTAGGTTAGCGTAGCATGTAGACTGGAATCAGAGGAAGCATGCAGCCTGATGGGAACAAAATCCACCTACCAGCACTTCTAAAGTTTACTAATTAAGATGGTATATCTCAAGGGTACAAAATTATGTCCCAAAATATCAAACTATGTCTTTTTGTATTCAAATGTTGCCGGTGTTTGATATCACTCAACTTTACTGTTTTGAGTTCTAAAATTAAAACCGGTTACATCTATTTTCTTTTGTATTTAATACTTTAGAGTAAGGATTACCTTCTCAACCATTACACAAAGAGGTGGGGGAGTACTTACATGAGAGTATGGTGATAAGGAGCCCAATGACTGGATATGAGGAGAAATAAAAGGTATTTGTTACTGTTCATTATTCTTAATACCTTATGGTCAATTTATTTTTACCGGAAGAAATTCAAATAGTGAGTTTGTGTGTGTGTGTGTGACTACCTGCCTACGGTTGCATCTCTCCAAAGTGTCATCTGAGAGGTGCGTCTGTGCATGGTCGGCCTGATAAGGAATAATGTCGGGCCGCTGAATGTCATATATGGCTTTAACCCTGGGAAGTGCTGCCACCTGCTTATATTCCAAAACATCCCCATCACCCTTAGCCTGTTAGAGAGAGACAGGTAGACAGGGATACACATTAAATGAAGACCAAACCATAAGTAGAAGACTGGCTGTTAACAGCCAATCTCGATCACCAACAGAAGAGGCACCCAAATTCTTGCATAGAAAATCACACATATCGTAGCATACAGGAAGGGAAATGAGGCAATGGTAAACATTCAGGTGAGCAGGTTAAACTGAAATCTTTGATGGGCCAGTAAAAATTTAAACATGACATTAAACAATCTAAGATAGAGCTAAAAAGTGTGCACTGTAAGACAATAACTCTGGATAGGAAACTAAAGGGCTTAAGATAAAAGCCTGCTTATTATAAAAGGCATATTAAGGCTTTAGTAGTCTAGCACTTTGCTTTTAGTAGGCATACAGTAAGGCAGGGAGAGGCAACAGACAGACAAGAAGTCTGCTGAGAGACTGATAGCACAGACCGCCTGAGCTTTAAGGGTCTCTTTTGTGCTTCTGTCTATGCTGGTTATGTTTGAGTGACAGATGTGACTGTGACAGCTGAGGGCGCAACCATGGCGTAGCCATGGTGACGGTTACTCACACAGATGAGCCGGTGAGGAGAGCCAAGGAGAGGAGAGGAGCCTGGAGGAGAAATGGATGCTGTCTCGGAGGTACGTCTCAGCTGGTGGGACAAATGTCAGTGAGAGCAAGAAGGTGAATAAAGTTAGCTTAAATACAACAGTGAGCGCAGAAAAGTACTTTAATTTAATGCATTACTCAAAAAAGTGAACCTGGAGCAGTAACTCAAATAATCACTCGTTACAGCCAAGGTATCCAGAAGATCATCTCTGAAAGCACCTCACCTCAAACCTTGAGTTGGTTACCCAGTACCACCAGTACCTCCAGTACCACAGGAAACTGAGGCTATAATTTACATCGGCTCACCAAAACTGGGCGGCAGACAATTGGAAAACGGTCACCTGGTAATAAGCCTTGAATTCTGCTCAAACATTTGAACGGCAGGGTGAGAATTTGGTGTAAACAACATGAAAGCCTGGATCCATCCTGCCTTGTATCAACACTTAAAGTGGTATAATGATGGTGGTATGATGGTCTATGGGGGATATTTTCTTGGCACACTCTGGACTCCATCTAAATGGAGCTAAAAACCACCCCAAAAAGGGTTTCTGGAACATTACAATGAGTCCAGATGGCCTCCACAGTCACCAGATCAACATCCAATAGATGTGGTAGAACAGGAGATTCACAGCATGCAGGTGCAGCTGCAAAATCATGCATCAACCGTGTGATATTAAATGTCAATATAGACCAAATTTAAAATAAATAAGTAAACTAAAATACTTTATCTAGCCTCTCACTTAAAAAAGTGTGTTTTGTTAATGCTGTTTTTTTGTTTGTAATATAAAGCAAGTGGATGGAGCTTCTCTGCTCACAGCCAGAACTGTGTAATATTATAGATATCAAATCTGTTTGACTTCATACAAAGACTTAAAAAGGCGGATACCTGACTTTTTCTTCAGTATTAATCTTTCAGGATAGAGAACCACTTTGTACTGAATATTATAGCTGCAAACTAACACTTCTGTACCTGTTATGTTTTTACTGTGACAGCATTATTAAGCCAACTCTTAATCATGTAAGTGTTCTTGTAAATGTTCCTCTATGTGCTGGAATAGCTGAATCTCACTTTTTTTCTTGACATGTTCACTTCTCAGTTGAGCTGAGCAATCATTTAACAACAAATGTTAATTTCCTGCTTTTAACATTCATATTCCCTGTGTGTATGTGTGTGTGTGTGTGTGTGTGTGTATGTGTGTAGGTGTGTGTATGTGTTTTGTAAAGTTACAACTTCCTTCCATGGTGTGATGATTATTATTTGCATGTTCATGATAACACCAGGCTCTGGCAAGAGCTGTCAAAGTGCAGGTCTGCAGCTCTACTTTCGATGAAATGCTTTGAAAAAATACAATAAGACTTTATGAACCTCTTTGGACAATTTCTGTTAAATAAAGCTGCAACAATAGTATGAACAATCTGGTGACGAACTATATATTACAATGAAATCTTTTATAAATGAACAGCAAAATAAAGTCTATTTATCCAAATTTTTATATATAAAACTAAATTCGCTGAGGGCAGATTTGAGCACATTTCTTACAATGCTAAGAGCGACATACCTGCTTTTAAAACAACAGTGAGACATTTCAGACACAGCATGAAAGAGAGAACCACTGAGAGGACAAAAACAGAAACAGAGAGGAAGAGCAGGGGCTTGCAGGTATTTTGAGTAACACTCACCCTCAGTTTCCTCTCCAGCCGAGCTGCTTCTTTACACATGGGGTGCCAAACCTCTGAACCTGCACATACACACATGCGATTTTATCTCAGTTTACTTTGTTTATTGCGTGTGGGCAGCAGCCATACAGTTTTATGGGATCCTATGAAGAGCAGATCAGCTTTTCTCAAGTGCATCAACATCAATCAAAGGCACACACACACACACACACACACACACACACACACACACACACACACACACACACACACACACACAC